TGAAAATGATAATTTTTATCAATAATACTAAATAACAAATGATTTATTTAACATATCACTTTAGTTGTTTGAATATCAATAACACATGTAATCAACAAATAAAATTTACAAATAATTTAAATATATGAAAAATCATGATTATAAAACATGAAAATTAAAATATAACACCCGCGCGGTTGCGCGGGTCGAGATCTAGTTAGTGTTAAAGCCTTTAAATTAAAGATTTAGCAGTACTAATAGTCATTTTGAACTGCATTGTAGATAGAGGATTTAATCTATTAAATAAAACTAATCTGGGGGTTTTTCGTTCTAAAGTTAGTTAAGAGGTTTTAATCTAAAGCAATCTTATTTAAGGAGTTTTAATGTTAAAAATCCATTAAAGTTTTACATTTACAGTTATGCTTTTGTAATTAGTTTTGGTGAATATTCATCTATGAGGATACCAAAACTATGTCATCTTTTTAACTAAGCCATGTCATTATTTTACTTTCAAAATGAACGTAACAATGACATATAAGCTAAACTTAATAATTATTCCCAAATAATGCTAGAGATGTCAACATCAAGTAAGCCATTAAATGACAAAACATTGTAATATCACTTTAAGCGTTTTATTGTCTTAGATATAGCAGGGCTAGACAGGGCCGGGTCTCTACACATCATAGTAAAACATTTGTGTGGGACCTCCACTTTATGGGTCCCCTATTTAAATAAAATCTTTATATATAATTAGATATAATAACTTAATTAGTATGTATATAAAAAATAAAAAATAAGAAATTAGTTTATAAATATAACAATAAGTAGTAAAAGTTTTAAATCATCTGGGTTAGACAAAAACAAATTTAATGGTGAAGTTAAAGTAAAGAAAATTTGTTGTAAAAAAAGTATTTTTAATTTTACTATTACAACTTTCAAAGATATAAATATTTTTTTGATTGATTATATTTAGATGTTATTTCTCATTCAGTAATTATTTATATATCATTTTATTACAAAACTATGATTTTTTAAATAGATTTCTTATAAAGTTATAGAAATTATAGGTTAAAATATATATATATTTTTTATATTTTTGAATAGGGCCGCCAATTTATCGGGACCGACTCGGCTGGGACTTATTATGTGAGATCCGGATCCGATCCGATCCAAGATCCGCTCCAAAAATAGAATATTTGGGGTGCCCGAATCTGGATAGTAAAATCTCGAATCTGTCTAAACTGAATCCGAAACTGAATATCATAATTTTTAGGTCCAGATATCCGGATATGTGCTTCTAAAATATATTAATTTTCTTACTAATTATATTTGATATATTAATATATATACATATAATAAGTCTTATAATATAATGTTTTAATTTTTAATAATATTATATACCATAAATATATTTATAAATTTTGTATAAATATTTAGTTTATGTTTTATTCTTAGAATTTTTGTATTTTAAATATTTTTAATTGGTTTTTATTATTCTTACGGATCCGAACCGAATATCTGTGGATATCACAATTCCAAGACTGATATCCGAATCCCAAATACCCAGAAGACACAGATCCGAATTCAGATACTAAAATCACGGATCCGACGAATCTAAATCCAGATTCGGATACTCTAAAATTTCCCGGATATCCGGATCGTTCCCACCATATAAGTAAAAAAGGTGTTCATGTAATAGTGGCCATTAAAACTTTTTGTGTAATGTACTCTAAAATCCAGTGTTTTGAAACCCGACCTGGGTCCACGGCTGAACCGGTAAACCTGGTGACCCAAAATAAATCTGGTTTAGGTTTTGTTAAGAACCCAAAATTTAAGAACTCGCAAAAACCCGGAAAACACACTAAAACCCAAAATCCGATGCCGGTTGAACCAATAAATAAACTTTTAGTTTTTGTTTTACTTTTAAATTATGTTTTTTTAGATTTTGATGAAGATTTCACTATATCACCTGAAAAAAATAAACTGAAGGGTGGTAGCGAGAACCAAAATTAGTTGATCTGATTTGGTGTTAGTTTATTTTTGTCATTGATAATTTATTACAATGTGTTTTACTTTTGGTTTATTTTTGGATTTGAAGTTTAATTTATTATTCTCATTAGACATTTAAATATTTTTGAATTTTATATCTTGATTTTTTAGATGTCATTACTTTTAACTTGTTATAGAAAAATTTAAATAGTCTAAACTAGTTTTTGATATTTTGTATATTTATTTATATATTTTATGTTTTAAAAACATTTAGAAAATATTTAACTTTAGTTTCTATATTTTTATTTTCATAGCTAATATATTATTATATAATAAAGTTTCATTTATCAACTTGTGGTTCATCCGTGATCGATCCAGTGACCTAATGACCCGATAATCCGATTCAGTGTCCGGATAGGATTTAAAAACATTCCTAAAATCTATGAATAAAGTTGACAAA